TAATAGTGAGGCAAAAGGTGGTGTCGATTCCTTCTCAACGTAGTTTTTCCTGTCTTAACCCAGTATGACCTTGGTTCTTGTCCTAAGCTGATAATAATCCCCTCTCTTTTTAAGTCTTGGATCCATACTTTTTGACCTACATGCAGCGATGGAAGTTCTCTTGTAGCATAGCGTCTATCGTAGTTTCTCTTGTAAGATGCTCTGTAAGTATCTTCTTTTTCCTTTAATTGAGAGAGATCGGGTTTGATTTCAAGTTGTTTAGGTAAAACAGGCAGGTTATCTCGTAATGATCTATTGTATATTAGTTGAGCCGTACTGTATCCATTTGTGGATAGGGGTGAATTGCGATAAGTCAGGAGAGCTAAATATGGAACTTCTTTGTTTTTCTTCAGTACACTTTTTGCTATTTTGACTGCAGCTTCAGCTGTACCGTTACTTTGGTGGTAGCTTGGGCTGCTCGTCACAAGTTTAAAGTTATAGCTTTGAGCGAACTTTTTGAATTCAGTGTTTTCAAGACCAGTGTATCTGGTAGCAAACTGTGTGCCACAATCTGACCGCAGCTCAATTGGGATACCATGACGGCAAAAAACAGATTTGCATTTCTCGATTATTTTCAGCAGTTGACAGGTTTTTTAATGTAGCTATTTCAAAATAACGGGAAAAACAGTCAGTGATTACTACGAACCATGTTCCTTCGAGTTTGAAGAGATCAATCGCTGCCTTTTCCCAAGGACGAGTTGGAAGCTCACTTGGTAAAAGGGGTTCATGATGTTGCGTTCTATGTTCTGTACATTTTGGACAATCAGTAACATATTTCTCAATATCAAGTGACATTCCCGGCCACCACATACTATTGCTGGCCCTAAGTCGACATTTAGTAATTCCTAGGTGACCTGTGTGTATTCTTGTCAACATTTCTTGTCTAAGAGTTTCCGGGATTATGAGACGTTCTCCTCTAAGCAACAGTCCGTCACAAAAAGATATTTCATCCCGAACAGTGAAGTATGGCTTAAGATTATCGGGAATCTTAGTTTCATCAGGCCATTCAGTTGAGCAGTAAGATTTAATTAACCTGAGTTCTGAACTAGCCCGCTGTGCCGAGGAAATTCTACCAAGAACCATGTCAGTTACATAGGCAATGTTTCTTGTTACTGTGTGGATGGTCAGTTCAACTTCCTCATCTAAATCATAACTCTCATTAGTTGCTACAGGGATTCTTGAGAGACAATCAGCAGTTGCTAAATGTTTGCCAGGAGTATATGTCACATTGTAGGGATATCTCATCATTCGAAGTCTGAGCCTTTGAAGACGGGGTGTCATATCATTGATCTCTTTAGTAGTCAAAATACTTACCAAAGGTTTGTGGTCTGTTTCCAACGTGATGTGCTTGCCCATAATATAGTCTTTAAACCTGTCACAGCTCCATGTTAGAGATAGAGCTTCTCGTTCAATGTTAGAGTAGTTTCGTTCGTTTTCGCTCAGAGTACGTGAAATATAAGAAATCGGTTTCCAATTTCCATCTGTTTGTTGTTGTAAAAGTACTCCACCCAAGCCTTGTGTAGAAGAGTCAGCAGAAATCATAGTTGGTTTATCCTTGTCATAAAATGCTAGTTGAGGTGGAGATGCCAATAATTCTTTCAGTTCATTGAATGGTTTCTGTTGTTCAAACCCCCAACACCATTCGTTTTTTCTACTTAGAAGGTCGGTAATGGGTTTTAGTAATCTACTTTTGTTAGGTATGTATTTGCCAATAAAGTTAACCATGCCAAGTAACCTTTGTACACCCAAAATATCTGTTGGAGGTGCCATTTTTCTTATAGCTTCGACTTTGGTCTCATCGACTTTGATTCCTGTTTCGGATAGATGGTGACCTAAGTAGGTTAAGGAGGTTTGAGAGAACAAACATTTGTCTCTGTTTAAGGTGAAGCCTGCACGTTCAAGTTTGGTAAGTACTTCTTCTAAGAAATAGTCATGTTCTTGTTGAGTTTTCCACCAAACAATTATATCGTCCATGTGCGCAAGTGCATTCATTTGACCTTTTAAGGGTTCGATTCACGCATTCCTGGAATACTTCTGGTGCAGATGTTATTCCAAAGGGTAGTTTCAGAAATTTAAAGCGTCCAAACGGTGTTAGAAACGTTGTCAAATCTTGGGATTCTTCGTCCAATGTGATCTGCCAGAATCCATTATTAGCATCCAATTTAGAGTACCATTTTGCTTCTGAGATTTGGGCAAGTGTTATGTCGATGGGTTGAATAGGATAGTATCTTCGTTTGACGCATCTGTTTAATTTAGTAAGATCCACACAGATGCGAACTTTGTTAGAGTCCTTCTTTGGTACAACAACCATTGGAGAGCACCAGTCTGTGGCATGGTGTACCTCAGCAATCACCCCCATTGACACCATTCTTTCAAGCTCTTCTTTAGTAGATTCCCAAAGAGGAAGAAGAATCCGACGAGGTGTGTTGATTGCAAATGGATTGGCGTTTTTTTTTCAGTTCTACTTTGTATTTGACATCAATAGAACCTAAGCCTTCAAACAATTTAGGGTGTCTGTTATACCAGTCATTACAGGATGGCTGTATTTCATTGATTCGAGCAAGTAACTGCAAATTTTTTATTGCAGGTTTACCTAGAAGGGGTTGGGAAGTGCCCTTAGAAACATATATAGTCTCATAACATGTTTTGTGATTATGTGATAGTTTGACTGTAGCAGTTCCCAAAATTGACAAAGCTTGACCATTAGCGCCACTAAATGTTTTGGATGTGGGATTCAGTTTGATTTTCTTGTTCAATTTAATGTCGGAAGGCAAAATCGTTACGTCTGCGCCTGTATCAATTTTGAAAAGAGCATCATCACTGTCGTTCATATTTAACACTACAGACCAAGGATCATCACGTATGGTTTTGTCAACAGAGCCAATTTGAGGGTCTATGTACTGAGAGCAAACATTTTTGGTGGGGTTTTCAAGGGGAGAATCATCATATTCAATTTGACTGACTTTGTTTGATTTGCAAACATTTGGGAAATGACCGACTTTTTTTACAAAACCCACATTTGTATTGTTTAGCTGGACAGTTGAATCTTTTGTGTAAAACTGTCGAGCCACACCAAAAACATCTCTTTTCGACATTGGACAGGCTTTTATTGACATTAATTGGCTTAAAGTATTGATTATTGTTTGATTTATCAGGAGAAATGTTTGATTTACTTAAATGTTGAGTGTTAGCGAATTTCCCTATAGGGAAGTAGCTATTACCGTAGGTCTCATGGTAAGACTTAGGCCCGGGACCGATTTACTTTTTCATTTTGATGTCCCCAGAGGCCAAAAACACCATTCGTTCAAATTTTTATATATGTATATATATATATATAGATATATATATAGATTTATATATATATATGTGTCCGTGAACACGATAACTTGAATAATTTTTATCCGATTTCGATGAAATTTGGTTTGAAGGTGTAAGGCGGGATAAACTTGAATGAGTTCGCGATCCAGCATGATCAGACCATGGGAACAGGGTTTTATGGGGGGTTTTATGGGGTAAAAATTGGTTTTTCTCACTTTTGACTCTCAAAACACAAAATTTCCCAATTTTTCTCTAAACTTTCTTAAAGAGCTTAAAAAAACAAACAATTCAGTATATCAAAGTGTTTTTGTACGGTTATTGGTTACGGAGAAAACTAAAAAAATGGTAAATTTAAAATTCCCATGTTATTCTTATGGAGAATATTGTAAAATGTTGTAGTTTGCTTGTTTATGGATATATTTTGATCAAACTTGGCAAATTTATTTATTTAATAGTAAGCTATCAATATTTTACTAAAAACACACTTTATTAGTTTCCTTGTAGCAGCAAACCTAGGTACTCGTTAAACCTAATGTTATTTAAATAGATCAATTGAAAATCAATTCAGCCAAATGGAAATTCGCTTAGACGGCAGGTTTGCTGCGGCGGGGGTATTTTTGTTTATTATTGCTATGTCAGCCAAGTTTAGTGTTTGTTTCTGTCTTGTTAGTTCTTCAGATCTACGGATAGTGTTAATAGCTGTGTTAAGTTTTAATTCGGGTTCAAGTTGAAGACGATCACTTAGTGATTCGTCCTGCATACCAATAATCAAAACCATCTCCTCTTCAATCTGATCCCAATCACAGTTTTTTGCATGATTGTGAAGGTCTGTGATAAAGTTCTCAATCGGCATGGAACCCTGTTTAAGTTTTAGAAACCTAGCCCGTTCAAAAATTAGGTTTTTTTTTAAGGAAATGGTCGTCAAACTTCTTTAGAACAACTTTGTAATTAGATTTGTCATTGTCATTTAACCTGAATGAGTTAAGTATATCCTCTCCCTTTTCCCCCATACAGTATATAAGCATGTCAATCTGATGCTTACCAGAATGTAGAGCTTAATTGCTAAGGGAATAATACCTCTCAAAGCGAGTCTTCCATGTCTTCCAGTCGTGAGGATTGAAGGAAAAGGCTTCAGGTAGCAACAGCTACTAACTGTCAGGGGTGTGATAAGGGCAGGTAGGTGGGAAAACCAATGTTTTTGGGACAGCATTATTTCCCCCCATAACTGACCCCTTCCTATATCGCCCCGTACCGGGCAAAAGTTCCTTCTTAGGTGTGTTTGACTGGTACTAAGCCTTAGGTACTTGTGTAGGTAGTTGTGTTTGTTTACCTATGCTGTCGCTTGCCTAAGATGGTCTTTTTCTAGGGTGGTGTTTACCTAAGGTGGTGTTTACCAAGGGTGGTGTTTACCTAAGCTGGTCTTTACTTAAGTTGGTGTTTACCTAAATCGGTGTTTACCTAGGGTGGTGTTTACCTAAGGTGTGGTGTTTACATAAATTGGTGTTTACATAAATTGATTTTTACCTAGGGTGGTGTTTACCAAAGGTGACGTTTACCGAAGTTGGTGTTTACCTATGGTGGTGTTTACTTAAGGTGGTTTTTGCCTAAGGTGGTGTTTAGTGTTTACCTAAAGAGGTGCTTACCTAAGGTGGTGCGGCCAGGAACAGCATTGGCATCCAGCCAGAATGTCACCCAGGAAACAACTACCAGTAGGATGCTCGGAACGTAGTAGTCCATCAGATAATGTCCTACCTCTCTCTTTAGAGCAAAATTGACTACCAGAGTGCTGTAGTTACCAGCTGAAAACAAAGAAAAGATATTCTCTGTTGACGAGGTACATTACTAAATAAATTACACCACATTGGTGAGGATATCATTTGTTACTTGTTTAGTGGTTATAGCTATGGGTTTCAGGTACCGGTATCACAGACTAACCGACACAAGTATAGGCTTCTCATCCCATTGTAAATTTTGAAGCTCGTTTTTCGTGCCGAGTTCATGTTGGTGAGCCTGATCGCTAGTGTCGACAAAATTTTTTTCCTATTATTTTAGGGTTAATTTCATGATTTGTGCTTTACAGTTTTGTTAGGGGACAAGTTATTGTTTACGATTAGATTTTTTTATTTGGTTAAACAAGGTTTTACATTACTGAAATAACAATAAACAAATAGTAAACAAAACAGACCTCTACCATGCACTGGACGGAACTAACAATAAAATTGTCTTCAGCTGACCCATAAGGATGAGAAATCTACTATGGGAGTATGTTTGATCTATACCGGTATATTCAGAAAATAAAGTTAGGTGAGAGTTGATGAGAGGTTTAAATCACTTTTCCTTAGACCTTTACATAAATATACTAGTTTTCATTAAATAAGTTAACTTAAGCAATCAATATTCTAGGACATCTTTCCATCTAACAAGAAAATATTTTGTGGTTCTTGATTTATTTTTCAAAACATACACCAAAACAACCACTGATACGTTATGTTTTAGAAGTGCTGATCAACATGTTTAAGTTTAATGCCAATTTGATGAAACCGGAATCCTATGGTTTTAGTTTTAGCCTTAAATAATAAAGCTTTAACAATACTGAACACCTGCATTAGTAAGTAGGAAAAACAGTTAACCCATTTAGGCCCAAATTATTTTTTTCCAAAAAATTTGTATTTTTTTTATTTTTTTAATAGTTAATAGTATAAAACTAACATGTGAGGTGTTTATGTCGGGTAGGGCACCTATCGTAAACTTACCTCCGATTTGCTCGGACAGCTCGAGTAGTCCAGGGTCTCGCTAACAGTCTTCGTCACTCGCTCACTGCTCCTCGGTCCTCGTGGATTTACTGTTGCGTCGATCTACTAGTACACAAGTACACACTGTGTACATCGGCACGTCGACGCACCGAACACGAATTACTATCAATGAATACACCAACTATAGTTACCACTATAACTTGGTATCAGCACAGCGACGCACTGACAAACCAAGTCGCGGCTAACTACTAGGGTCCGATAGATAAATAGGCGAAGATTAGGAAATAAAATAAACACCCAGCTCCTAGGCTTAACGAAAGGTCTCACTTCTCAAAATAAAACTAAAAATAATCTTCTCGGAATTAAAAGAAAACGACGCTAACTCGCGATAAGTAAATAATGAAATAAAATAAAACGTAGAAGGCGCCTATGCCAATTCTTCTTGGCTTTAAGGAAAATAAATAAATAACTCTTGATTAAGATAAAACAAAACCACTTTGGATAACTAAAAGTAGGCGTAGGTGACTGCGACACTACACTCGCAGCGTCGGTCGTTAAATTACGATTTTCCTATAACCTACGATAAACGGCCTAGAATAGCCTAATATCGTAATTTCCCTCACTAAAGGGGATACGAGTAGAGGTATAACGTATACGCTAGTTATAAACGGTGTACTTACTTATATACTTATGTTTCGCACGCCTTCGTCCGGATACTTTGTTCGCTCGCACAGCCTAAGGAAGGTTGGTGTGCGCGAACCTAACGCTCGCCGCCGACTGTCTGCTCGAAGGGTGTTTGGCGAACAAGCGCTCGCCGTCGACTGTCCCAAGAAATGACCACTGTCCGCTGGTCTCGGCTTCTCCCCACCACGTCTACGTCAGCGCCCCGAAGTCGCGGCGGCCAAGGCACGAACTAGGCGACTTGACTTGCAGTGGACATGTTGGGCATTGTTGTCGAGCGCGCTCAAGCCTTCGCGGCCTTTATATAATTAAAACTAACCCCCCCCAATAAAATGTGACCATTACAAACATCTTAAACAAAATTTTGAGTTTTTAATTTTTTTTATATAAAATAATTAGTGTTCCCAAATGGGAACAGTGGGAGCAAACGGGGTGCTGTTTTTTATATATATAAGGATCTTTAGTAAGCATTATAGGATTATTTATAAAATCATTTTACAAGGCAAGATAACATTTTATTTACATACATATGAGGAAATACGAGTGATACATACATATTGATACTTAGCCTACTTAGGCTCACAGTGAAAGGTCTCAAAACAATGCTGGTGCAAAGCGACATTACATTTCTTACATTTCAGCCTAGCGTTTTTCTTACACAGTGCACAGCGAGATTGTTTCGCATTGCTGGCTATGAAATGACCAATTCTGTCGAACCGCGTTTCATCCATTACACGTGACTCAACTGGATTTACAAGCCTAGGAGGTCTTCCCAGGGTCAAGCGTTGGCTGTATATTCTGAAGGTATGATTTGCAAATCACTCTAGTAAAGCCTAGGAGGTCAAGCTGCTCACTCTTGTTTTGAACAGCATATCTGTGAAGCTGCCAGGCATTGTTCACTGACACATTCAATGGAAAACATAGCAGTTGCCAGTACCACTTCTTCCCTCTTATGTTGATTCTTAGTTTTGCTACGTTCTCATCTAGGCGATCAACCCCTCCCATGTAGGCATTATATAAAACAAAACATGCTGGCTGATCAACATTTATGTAGGCTTTACTTGATTGGCTAAACCTCTTTGCTTTTCCGATTGGTGAAGATCCAGCTTGCGTTGATGCTATGGTTACTACATTATTGTTGTTGTATTGGATGAGTGTGATATCAGTCTCTTCATTGGTTACCTGCACATGACTTCCACGCGGAAGCTTCTTCATTTCTTTTTTTGAAGGCAATGGAGCACCTAGTGATCTATTTATTCGAAGTGTTCCAGTCCCATGGGTTCTATTTTCTTTCAGTTTTTTCAGTAATGGGATGCTCGTAAAAAAGTTATCAAAAAATATGCTTACTTCTTTATTAGGTAGCTTTTCCACAAGATCCATAACAACAGACCCACCAAGTCCTAGATCTGGTCGTGTGTTTCCAGATTTTTTGCCTTGATATGGGATTGCCTGTATCAGATAACCCAATCGTGTGCACAAACACCAAACTTTGAATCCAAATCTTATGGGTTTACCGTGCATGTGTTGCTTAGCACCGTGCCTACCATAATACGGTATCATAGACTCATCAACACTTAGATTATTGTCTCCTGGGAAAAACTTCAACCATTTCTCATTTATCTTTTCCCATAGTGGCGAAATCTTGGCAAAACGATCTCCTTTTGCCAAGTTATGATTATCACACACATGAAAATATTTCATGATTTGTATGAAGCGGTTACGAGCCATTGCGTTACTGACTGCTTGGTTATTGCAGTCAGGGCTCTGCTCCCAATACATACGGAGTCTTGGCACTTGACAATAACCACTGAGGAGAAGAATGGCTAAAAAGACTTTAGTTTCTTCAGTGGTGAGCTTTAGATTGTGTTCTCCATTTTGGAAAGCATTAAGGTTTGTGAGGTTAGATCGATGACTTCATCATCATAGAACAGTTCAAAAAGCTTTACAGGTGAACCATCACTGTTTTTTAGCCAATCCGGGAGCTCAAACTCTCTTTCTTCATATCTTGGAATATCTTTAGTAACCCAGACTAGTGGGGGTTTTGTAGTTTTACTACTTGTTTTACCTCTCCCATTTTTCCCCACTAAAGATTTAGAAGACTTTGATTGTTTTTTTACTTTAGCTTTAGGTGTACTGTCTATATTAGATTTATTTTTCCTTTTCCTCTCCCTTTTTCTAACATCTATAGGCGTTACTAGGTCATGGCTACTACTAGGCTGAGGCTCACCTGAGGAAAGGACGATTGTTGTACCACTATTTTCTTCTGCAATAGCATTGTTTTGCTCAAGTTTTTCATCATCTTGTCCTGAATTATCTCGTTCTGGATTATCTTGTTTTGAATCATCCTGTCCTGGACCATCTTGGCCTGGACCATCTTGTCCTAAATCATCTTCTTCTGGATATCCTTGTACTGTATCTTGTGGGTCTTCAACCACTTCCAAGTTCTGGTCATCAATGATTTCATAAGGCTCGTCCATAACATCCTGTAGTGTTCCTATTTCCACGGTAACAACCTCTCCGTCAATAACCTTCCGAATTGTAGACTCAGCATTCGAAAGTAGCTGGTTTCTAGACAATCTTGAAAAATCAACTTCATCTTCTTCTCCACTATCAGCATCAGAATGTATGCCTTCGTTTGGTATGATGACGATTTCACCATCCAAAACATCAGTTTCATCATCTAAAATGTCCTGAATTTGGTTCAAAGTAAGGCTGAAACAAAACAGAAATACTATAACAACCTTTCTACTGACTTTATCAGCCCCTAATAGGCGCAATAAAATAAATATAATGACCAACCTATTCAATCCCATTGTTCCCAAATGGGAACAAAATAATAAATCTAATGACCAACCTACTCGATCCCATTGTTCCCAAAAGGGAACAACAAAGTTTAAACACATATATTAGTCACATCTAAGCTATCACAATTATACAAATATGTATTGAATCCATTGGCTTAGTGTATTAACAATATTAATTGTAATAGTAATTAGCAATATAACTAAATAACAAAGATTAACAGCTTACCTTTCATAATAAGTCATGGTGACAAAACATAACCTCAAAATGAACTACTGCTGCTCCAATGCAATGTGCTCAAGAAAAACAACAGGTGTGTTAGAGGAAACAGGGGTACCATACATACAGGCCTGCAGTAAAAAATTCCCTCTGATCTAAACGGGTTTTAAGGTTGAGAGAGAAGAGAAGGGTTCATAAAACACCCCAGCAGTGTGTTCTGTTAGCTCGATTCATACAAACAAGCTTTACATACTATAAGAAATATTTCTTTACCAAATTTCCCGTAATAGTTGAGAACACCTTGGGAAGTGTCAGTCTCGTCAATGGAGTACTGAGCCTCAGACTTGTTGGGAGACACTCTCAAGAGAGCGTACTCAGTCAGCTGCAAGTCCTTGTTGACCATCACGGGACTGTCAGTCTCCCAATGTAACTCCAGCTGACTTGTGTTATATGTCCCTGTCAATCACCCGCCAACACAACACAGTAGATTTAGATGTTATGATTAGTTGTAACAAAAAGAAAAGTACATTTCACTACTAACTTTGTACTATTTTGGTAATTAAAGTATACTTCCCATCTACATAGACCAAAATGTAGGGAATTTTCAATTCAAAAAGAACATACACTATCCCCAGAGTCCTGCTAATCCAAAGGGAGGACTCAGGTTGATCAGAGCCACTTCTTATAGGTAGAAGGAAAAAAATACTTCTACAGTTACCTGACAAAGTGGGCTTCCTTGCACTGATTATAGCATGCAAAGTAGCTAATTGCTGTGTTTACTTTCTTTTTTCACACTCATCATTTTCTTTTTCCACGATAAACTTTTTTACTGCACTCCAGTATCTCAACTAAACAACACAAAACAGTGTGCTTTTATTAGGCACGTGATACATGTACGCTTGAAGATAAATTGGCAGCACTTAAAGATATTACAACTACGATCAGCTGGTGCAGCATTTCCCATTTCATTCAACTTGGATTTAACCTAACCTAAAAACGTGTTGTATATTGTTTGAAAGACTAATTATTTATGTGCTTTATAGTAATTGTAGGAAAAATATAATGTGTAACGAGAGTGCAAAGTGACTTTTAGTGCACTTGAGAAACTTTCCACACTCGCCCGCGGCTCGTGTGTAAACATTTTTCTCATGTGCAGCAAAGAGCCACTTCGCCCACTAGTTACACAAATAACTATTGTATTTCTATGAAACACAAAGCTATGTGTTCTAAAATACTAACCAGGGAGTCCTACAAACCTGGAAACCACGAAAACTGGGAATTGTTGCCCAAACAATTTGGCAATATAAATTGGGTACAGTCCAAATTACTTCATATTAGCAGGACTCTGGTGTGGTTGAATGATCCACTCACCAGAATGCGCTGCTGTCATAATTTGATTTTCATCAAGGTAATGGTACAATAATATTTTACATCGGCTAGTTTACCATCAGGTCTCCTTTAATTTGACTTGGTGTTTAAAAGATGAATCAGGAATTAAAATTAAATTTTTTTATCAGTGCACTCTGTTTGTAAAGATCAATTATTCAACTACGTGCATTTTGATTCAAAAACTGGCAATGACTTTAGCATGGAGATGGAAAGTCTACTTGAACAATCGTCATGAAGCTAACTTTTTTAAATAGGTATAGGAAAGCAGACGTACTGTATTGAAGCAAACATCATAAATGTCTACTGGTAAACTACCTTTTATAAATAACTATTATAAACAACTACAAGAAACTAATTTGTAGTTTGTTGTTTGTAATTTGTATTAATACCATATAACTAACTGTAAATACCTTAAATTATTTGTAGCACCATGCATGACATAACTTGTGTTAATAGCCTACATAAGCACTAATATTTTACATCTTAATTTGAACAACAGTGTTATTTAAAAGGATAGTTACAAATTTATCAAGTACCTAAAAAAACAATACCGAACCGAGATTTACTTAAGTGATTTCCCCCATAAAATAATAAAATATCCGATTAAACAACAAAAATCCTCGACTAAATATGAATACAATTTACTATATTAATTTAAGTTCTTCTAACTCTAAACAAAATGGTACAGCCTCCGTTGCTGTAAAAATTACGGTTCAAAAGTGATTTGTTGTGATTATCCCATAAAATATCAGAAGCATAGTTATTCAAATGAATACAAACCCTTTAAGAAGCGCAATGTCTTTGTAAATATTAAAATTTGCCTTTGTTAAAATTAAGTCTGGAAATATTTGAATTTTTTATAGTTCCCGCAGCGGCTGCTAGGTAAACTATCGAGAGCGTGAGGCCAAGTCAGCTGACTGAGTGAGACAAAAAATTGCCTTAGAGAGAGAGAGAGAGAGAGAGAGGTGTTTGGCCGAAGCCCAGCGGTCCCTCCACCACCCCTGGTTTAAGTCAGAGACTTATTCACCAGGCCACTTTCCTGAAATATCTTCGGATTCCTCTTCCTGCTGTCAGCTTCAATCTATGTCCTTCCAGGAACATTCTGTGCCTAACCAACACCTCTCCCCTCACCTAGTACCCTCTGTACTAGGATCATCGGATTTTTTTTCTTTCTTTCCAATCTTCTTAATTTTATCTTTCTTTCCTAACATTTTTTCTTTTCAAATTCCAGCCTGTCTTCCTGCATTTTCAAATTCATGCTTTTTCTTCCCTATCCTTCGGCACATTCTGGCAAACTCCAGCGCAGATTCTTTGGTTCTCAAGAAGTTGATCTTCTCCCAATCCCATGTCTTTTGTTGGAGGAATTCCCTCATGTCGCTTCTTTCTTCTTCATAGAATGGGCACTCCATCAGTACGTGCTGCGATGTCTCCAGCTCTCCGCAATGAGTGCAATGATCATCATCGACGAGGTCGAAACTTTTCAGCTTTGCCTTGAAGTTGCCGTGTCCGCTGACGAACTGTGTCGTGTAGTGATCGGTTTCCCAATGGACTTTCTTTCTGAACCTCACATCCGGAACGAACGCAAAGGTTTCCCTTCCTTTTGTGCTAGACTCCCAACGTCTCTGCCAGTCAACGAGTGTTTCTTCTCTTCAGATCCTCATGCTATCCTTGATGTTGATACCTTCTTCTTTGTCCCTTCTTCTCTTAATCCTTTCTTCAACCATCAAGTCAAGCGGGATGACCCCGGCAATCACTCAGACAGCTTCGTGGGATATCGTGCTGTAGCCCTTGTTCACACCCAACAACAGTTTTCTCTGCAGACTCATCAACTTAGACTTCTCACCTCGTCCCCTCATTCGTTGGCCCCACATCTCACAGCCGTACAGCATCATTGGTTCAAGCGCACCGATGTACAATCTTCTCAAGTTCTCACATCTCATGCCGTTGTTTGCCTTGGCCAGTCCTTTTAACTTTCCGAATGCCTTCATAGTCTTGTCGATTACTTGCTCATAATGTCCTGCAAATTTCAATCCACTTCTTACTGCGACTCCTGAGTACTTTGTCTCATTTGAACACCGAATTGTCACGTCTCCCATGTCGACACGGATGAATCAGGAGCACCATCACTGTCTTTTCCCTCGAAAAAGTCATCTTCCTGTCTTCCCCCCACCTAGTGACCAGTTCCAAGGCTCTTGATGCCTTCCTCATGAGATCAGGGCTTGTGTTCGACTTCACCAAAAGCAGTCCGTCATCTGCATAGGCTCTCGCGGAGATACCTTCCTCGAAAGGCAGCCGCAAAAACCCATCGAACAGGATGTTCCACAACAGAGGGCCCACCACAGACCCTTGGGGGCATCCTTTAGTGATGTTCTTGTTCACCTCTCCGTTGCCAGCTCTTATTGTCACGGTTCTGCCTCGGAAGTAGTCCCTTACCAATCGGTAGATGTTGTTCGGACATCTCCATCTCCTCAAAACTCTCAGAATCTCTGGCCACCAGGTGGAGTCGAAGGCTCCAGAAATATCCAGGAACAAGCCTACTACGTACTTTTCATCTGTCTCTTCTACTTCTCTTCTCATATCCAGAAGTGCGTCTACAGTTCCAACACTTTCCGTGCATCCATATTGCAGTGGATTTGCCCTATTTTCCCTATCCATCCATTCTTTCATCCTTTTCACTATTAATCTTTCGCCTAACTTTCCTAAGACAGGTAAGAGGGTTACTAGCCTGTACGATTTTACCTTACTTGGGTCCTTTTCCACGCTCTTTAGAAAAGCTTTGACGATTCCTTTTTTCCACACATCAGGATACCTGCCTTCTCTCAGCATCTTGTTGTACAGGTTCAACAGCGTCCCCTTGATCCTTCCAAACATTCTCTTTACTACTTCGTTCTTCATTCCATCCACTCCCGGGGCTTTCCTATCCTTCAGCAGTGCAACGCATGCATTTAGCTCTCCTTCAGTGAAATCTTCCTCATCTGTTCCAGTGCTTTCATCAGCCATCCTACTTCTGATTCTTGATTGTTCCTCTGTATTCTCCTCTTCTCTGTCGTCTGGCAGCAATCCTTGTATCATTCTCTCTAGGGTCTCTTGCACTGTCTCTGTCATTGTACCGTCTTCTTTTTCCAGGCTAACCAGCACAGTATCCTTTTTCAGCTTCTCTGCAGCAATCTTATAGACCTTTCCCCACGGGTCACCCTCTTCCTCCGCAATTAGCTTTTCCCACATCTTCTTCTTTTGCTTCCTGATTCCCTAAACGTAATCTGTTCTTGTCCTAACAAACGCTCTCCCATCATCTTCCCTTCCTGTCCTATTCCAGATCCTACTTTTCCTTCTCATCTTCACTCGTAATTCATTTAGCTCCTCTGTCCACCAGTACACCTTCTTTGTTCCTACTTTCGCTTTTGGAAACTGCTCCTCCATCAGATTGCACGTAATTTCCGTAATCTTTTCCGCATGAACTTCCGCTGTAGCCATTTCAATATCCATGGCTTGTATACCTCTTTGTAAGGCTTCATCAAATGTTACCCAATCGACATTCCTTAAGCAGTATGACCCTTACCTCTGTTCATTTTCATGTCTCCAATTAATTTGATCCCTTCGCAATTTCATTGTTAAGCCTATGATCACTTAGCGTCTCTTCATGAACGATCCAATCCTCTACTCTTCCTGTAAGATCCCTCGACGTAATCGTCACGTCAATGTTCGATTTTCCTCCCTGCGTGTTCTCAAAAGTCGTCCATCTACTAAATTTGTTCACCACATGCAGATCCCAAGCAATTACGACATCTTCCACCTTCGACCCTCTCTCATCCGTTGAACCACTGAGCCACAGTCCCGATTTTGCATTTAAATCCCCTCCGCAAACAACTTCTTTATTTCCTTTCTTCCTTATTATATCAGCTAACCATGCCAAATGACCTTCAATGGGTTCCGACGGCCTACAATAAAGACTGATCACGTGCATTGACTTTCCATACTGCTCTAACCTAACACTAACACATGTTCCACTTGTTTCCTGAGCAACCATTATGGCGCCAATGGTATCATTCATCACAATAACTGCACTCCAGATATCTTGTCTTCCGCTCCTGTCATGAAATACTCTGCAACCAGCTATCTTCACCTTTCTCCCTACCGCGTATGGCTCTTGGACAAGAAGGACATCTAATTTTTCTTCTATACATCTTCTGAGTGCTTCATCTGTAGCAACTTTACCTCTCCCTAGATTCCATTGACCAATTCTACAATCCATAATCTATTTTTTCATTTTACCGTCTGACTGCCTTCTCATAGGCCGGACACTTCCTTGACCCAGCTTTATGCTTGCTATTTTCCTTCTTATCTCTTACGCAGTTTATACATCTAACCTTTTCCTTCTTACCCTTGTTGGGACAGTCCTTATAGTCGTGCGCCCCAGCACAGTGGGAGCAAGCAGGGGTTTCACTCTTACAGTGCTTTGCCACGTGTCCAAACTTCTGACACTTAAAACACCTAGCAACATCCACATAGTCTTTCACCCGACAGCTTTGCCATTCTACGAAGTCCGCTCTTTCCTTCTAAGCCAGTTCCTCACCCGGACAGAACATTCCACCACAACATGACACTTTTTCCCTGTCGATCTTGAATCCTTATACCTATGTCTTACAGCAAACTCCTGCTTGAAATCCGCCTCAACAATTTGGCTCTCCCCCATGTTTCGGGAGAAAATCTCCTCCTTGACCTCATCTTCTGTCAGTTTAGCACTAACATCATAAATCATGATGAAAGGTTTTTTCTTCTCCGGACGCTCTACTTTCAACCCTGCCTCTTTCAACGTCCCTTGCTTCATGAGATTTTGCACACCATCCTCATTTTCTGCTTCAATAATCACACCATTCTTGATATTTATTAGCCTCTTAACTTTCAAGCCGATTTCAGAAGGCCGTACTAACTTTTTCAAGGTTTTAGTCACTTCTTCCGTCTCCAAGGTGTCATGCCGCACTATAATTTGTTTCGGTTCTTGGACTACGGGTCCTTTCATTCCAGTTACCCTTGGAACCATTGGGGTATCTTTCTTCAGCACTGCTGAGTAGCTCACTCCAGCCGCGCCTGGAACAACCTTATCCTTCAGATTGTCCATTTCATGTCGCACGGTGGAGCTCACGATCTTTAAAAACTCTCTTCGTTCTTCCAACCTCGTTTCAATCCAGACTCTATCCTCTCTTGCCCTAATCAGCTCTTCCTGGAACCGGTTCAAGTACCTTCCAAACTTCTCTGTCTGAGGCTTTGTCACCATTTTTATGATGGTTGGCTGTTTGAACCATCCCTTCATCTTATCCAGTACCAAGCTCAAGCAAACTAACGGATCGTCTTCATCCTCAACCTTTTCTTCCTCATCCGATTCCAAATCCTCAGTCTTCCTGGTTTTCCTCCTTTTCTCTTTCTCCTTTTCCTCAGGGCTTCTATTCCTCTTCTTTTGCTTCTCCGCCTCGGACTCCGACTCCGCCATACTGCTGGTCCCAGAGCGATAGCCTCCTCCCAACGCAGACGCGGACCCCCTGGAGCTACTCAACCTTCTTTCCTTCTCATGTTGTTCCAGGAATTCCTTTTCCGCCGCTATCCTGTCCTCTTCAGCCTTTCTGGTTTCTTCTCTCCTAGCCTCATCCTCCTTCATTATTCTCAATTGATCAGCCAACATCTTTTATTTGCAATGAATATAAAATATCAAAATCTTTTCAAAAGCTTCTCTTTGGTGTAAGTCAAACTGAAACCTGAAAAACTACATACAATTCATTAGTGATGGGTTTTTTGTGTTCTCCGGTTCATAGGAGTATTGCCAATTACTCCTGCGCCGTCCATCGGCCGAGGCCCTACATTTCACCAATCAGGCCAAACCTCCTCGGACACCGATGCCCACCTATCACAGTCGCAGGCACCCGCATATGCCCATGGTTCTTGAGCCGATTTCCGACAATTTTGAAGCACCGCTTTCAGCGTGGCGAGGCTGCTTACTAACGGTGGCCCCCACTGTTGTCAATTTCACAGCAGTGGCTGCCACCAAGCTTAGGTCTGGAGTTGGCATGCGAAGGTATCCCCACTAGCGTCCCCCATTACCCCGACCAGAATGCAAGGGGAGGTCTGGTTCACAAATGGTGACCAGCTCAGATTCAGGGCCGTTTGCCATGGGCAAGCCATGACGTCCCCGGACACCCAATCCGCCTTCGTGTTTTTTAAAGACCCCAGAGAGAGAGAGAGAGAGAGAGAAAGAGAGAGAGGGAGAGAGAGAGAGAGAGAGTAGCACGGTGGCTGCACGAGTGATCGTAGCGGCGGCCGTGCAAAGCTAATTTCTGCGGCAAAATTCCAGTCTGACTATTCTCCATAAGCATTTCGCTTCTTAAAGGGTTTGTATTCATTAGTTATTCCCACCTTTTACCCTTATAAAGGGTGTTGACAAGGTAATGGGAGGAAGTATTTGTCAGATTGCTGATACTGTGTATTTTATTTAGTGGAACCATGATCAACGCTATGAGTTGGCAGCAAACTTATGTTTCTAAGAGAGAATGAAATAATTTAGAAAGAAAGAAAATGTGTGTCTTAAAAACAACAATAGTAGCTTTTATTAATGAAAAGAATGAAGGTTATGTCGAATGAGATACATATGAGGCAGATGCAGATGCAACCGAACAATGCATGTGCGATAATAACCAAAAGTTGTAATCAGTCAATATTTAATCAAAGAGACAAGTTGTAAATAAAATATAGAATCTTTACTGGTATGCTGTAGACAGTAACTGATACTGAAGGGGAAACAACAGTTAAACATCAAGAACCCTGAAGAATTTGCATCTGAGTTAAGAGCTAACTGCAGTTAGAGCAAGGCTTAACGGTGGTTTAAAAGTTTGGTGAAATCGGGCCTGAGAAGAATAAGTTAGGTTCCAAGCTCAGCTCAGGGACATAGGTACCGTAATCAGCCTAACATAGCTGAATAATGTTTTCAGAAAAATTATAAAAGTGTTAAACTTACAGCTTTCGAGAACCAGGGGGCAGACCTGATTATCAAATGGAAATTTCTGGAGATTCATCAAACACAAAAGAGTAACTTTCATCCTGAAAAGGAGCAATAAGGATTTAGCTTTTAATGACAGCAAAATGTTATTGCGGATCTATTATGATTTTTATAGTTGTTTCGGTTTCATGCCTACTTCACATGGTGGAAGGATAAATACCCCCCGCCGCAGCAAACCTGCAGACTAAGCGAATTTCCATTTGTCTGATTGGATTTACACTAAAATGTCTCCTTAAAAATATCACATTTTTTCCCTATTTAAATAGAATCAGTTTAACACATACTTAGGTTTGCTGCAACAGGGGGGGGGGGTAAAAGTGTTTTTAATGTAAAATGTTAATAGTTAGTAAGAAATAAAAACATTTTCCAAATTTGGGCAAAATATGTTAATAAACAAGCAAACTACAACTGTTTACTTATTCTCCATAAGAATAACATGGGAATTTTAAATTTAAATTTGTTTGGAATTTTCTCCGTAACCATTAGGCGCATTATAACGCTTTAATATACTAAATTACTTGTTTTTTAATTTCTACAAAATAGTTTGGAAAGAAATTGCAAAATTTTATGTTTTTTGGGTCAAAAAAGGGAAAAACCCATTTTTACACCATAAAAGCCCCCATAAACCCCCGTTCCCATGGTCCGATCATGCTGGTTCGCGAACTCGTTCGAATAAACGTAGGTTTACACGTTTGTACCAAATTTCATCAAAATTGGATCATTTTTGCTTGAGTTATCGCGCTAACGGACACACACATATATATATATATATATATATATATACAGGTAGCGGCAGTGGCAGAAATATCTGACGGTTTTCAAGCGAGTACAGTCCGGCAGCCGAGTGGAGGGGGGTGGTGGGGAGCGGCTCATTCTCAAGGCCAAGTGATGCCATTTCATTCAGTCGCCATGGATGGAGCAGTGGACCAGTATACATCGCGCGTTTGCCGTTGAGGCGTTTTTTTAAAAATGGCGATTCTGTTGTTGGTACGCAACATAAGTTTCGGAGGCATTTTAATGTGGCTCGTGGGGAACCTATCCCATCCCGAAACACCATCAAATTGTGGGTGGATACCTTTAGATCAAAGGATCAACTGCAAAACGTAGGCCTACAGGCCGTCCAAGGCCAGTGAGGACGCCTGAGAACGTGGAGCGAGTGCGACAAGCTGCTGCTCTTGGCATGTCTGATCGCTATATTCGACGAATTTTGCACTCAGGCCTTCACTTTCACCCGACGATTGCTATTTTATATGGGTGAAAGTGAAGGTCTGAGTGCAAAATTCGTCGAATATAGCGATCAGACATGCCAAGAGCAGCAGCTTGTCTACGCGCCGGGCGATGCGGGCTCGTTAGCACAGCTTGTCGCACTCGCTCCACGTTCTCAGGCGTCCTCACTGGCCTTGGACGGCCTGTAGGCCTACGTTTTGCAGTTGATCCTGTGATCTAAAGGTATCCACCCACAATTTGATGGTGTTTCGGGATGGGATAGGTTCCCCACGAGCCACATTAAAATGCCTCCGAAACTTATGTTGCGTACCAACAACAGAATCGCCATTTTTTAAAAACGCCTCAACGGCAAACGCGTGATGTATACTGGTCCACTGCTCCATGGCGACTGACTGAAATGAAATGGTATCACTTAGCCTTGAGAATGAGCCGCTCCCCACCAACCCCCTCCACTCAGCTGCCGGACTGTACTCGCTTGAAAACCGTCAGATATTTCTGCCGCTCCCTGTATATATGAATTTGAACGGATGGTATTTTTGGCCTCTAGGGACCTCAAAACAAAAAAAAAAATTGGTCCCGGGTCCAGGTCTTACCATGAGTACAGCTCGTGACACCTAAGCTGGCACTTGGCCTAGCGCGGGCAGTGTAGGCGGGAGGAGGGTGGAGGTAGGAAAAAGACCGGACTGCAAACATTTCCGCTGCCTCTCGGGGTTGACTCCCCTTGTATTATGTACTTGAGCGCCTTCATATGGGTCGCGAGGGCAGTTGATGCAACCCGCATGACGGGACATAACGTTTTTGAAATAGGTACTAGTAGCGATCGGCCAAGTGCCAGCTTAGATGTCACGAGCTGTACTACTATACGGTAATAGCTTATTCCCTATGTGGGAAATTCGCTAAAAACATAGGTGTGATCTTTCCCTCATAGGCTGACGTCACCCAGATTGTAAACAGACAATCACCTGATTGTAACTGTCATTTAATTATATATTTGTTATGATTTGATCGTTATTGTTTTTATATTTTTTTCTAAATAGTGAAATGGCGTTTGAAATATGGGTATAACGTCAGAATATGACGGAAATATCACACCTATGTTTTATCCTTCAACCATGCCTCCTTCAGTTCAGCATCATTTTTCTTTGCACATTTTGCATTCTCATTTGTCTAATGGTCTGGCAAATCTATGGAGGAATGTCCAACAAAAATTTAGATACAGTTCTAACTGAAAAAAAATATCTAAGAGTCACGAAATACTTGGACCTTACCTTAAAAGATGAATTTTGAAACTAGATATTTTGACTATCTTCCATCAATTCAATAGAATGTGTAATGTGTGTTAAAAATCAACAACAACAATTGTAATTGATAAAAAATGTTCAGTAATGAAGAAAAGAAATAAATAACCTCGCCATAGCAAACCTGCAAACTAAGCGAATTTCCATTTACCTTGCTGGATTTCTACTATAATATTCCCTTTAAATTGTGAGATTTATATCTATATCATAGATAAAACGTTGGTTAGTCTATGTCTATATATTAATACGCAAGCAGTTTTCTTTTCACAGTCATAACGCAATAACGGCTTGATGGATTTTAAAGTTTGAGGTGTCAAATTAAAGGTATTTTCACGTAGATGTGCAAATACGTCTCAGAATATTTAGAAAGGGCACCACTTAAGTACACTTAAGGGCTAAAGTTTTGAAGGCGGCGCTATCTGTTGACATTTGATCAAACTCATTTCCCTTTGTTTACAAATAACATATGGACGTAGTTTGAAATAGTATTTAAGGTTAACCACAGACTGGTAGAACTTAAAACTTCCAGAGCAAAGCTGGAATTTATATTTTGTTTCAATCTGTTAACTAAGTCTGGTCCATAATTAAACAAAGTGTTTAAGAATAAATATTTAATTCTTTTCGTCTATGGTTAAATTGATTTACCTTACATCGTATTTGACTGATTATCATGTAGTTACAGTTCGATGTGATGAAGTGAATGTTTAAAAGTGATTATTCACAGGGTAGTTATCCGTTACATTACCATATTATCATGTAATTTACAATGTGTATCAAAATTCCAATTCCTTTATAGTGTTTTCTGTTGTTTGGTTAACTTTCCTCTTTCATTTCAATTTAAAATCAAATGCCGCCAGTACGACGAAGAACTGTGAGTGGCTGGAGGGAACGCGAACGCGACCGCTTGCATCAACCTCTCAATTGAAAATTTGATGGGTACATAGTGGTAGTACCACCGTTGTGATAGTCCAATCACGGACAAATGTACGTTAAATGTTTAATCGTAGTGGCTTACATATTTTTAAGCAAGAACAGACTGGCCGAGACAGTTAAGTTTGTAGGCTACTCTTTGTTGCCAGAAATAAAAGGTTCGTTTACCTCATTTGTGCAATTCACCACAATAAACTTCGGGTTCTTAATGGAAACTCCCAATCTGAAAATAGGACTGTGAGACTTATATCCAGAAATTATTTGGATAAAGTTCGTCAATTCAGTTCTCCCTTTACCATGGTCAGATCCAAAGCTCATTAAGATGAGAAAGTTCCACAGGGGATCTACAATTTTAAGATCCGTGACACGTTTTACCACCGAGTGGGTCCTCTAATTCCTCAAGAAGGTGATGATCCTGAATACGCACAGATATTTAAGTAAGTACGACAATGTCACTAGAACCCAAAGAGGAGAACTAAGCACAATTTAAAAAAATGCAATGAAAAAATATGCGGGAAATAGGGTCACAATGCCAACCCATTTGCAAATCTTTGAAAACTGTGGCAGACATTATGTAGGGACAAGAGCTCCGAGGAGTCAAGTGAGATTCTTATGTACATAATAAGAGACATAAGAAGTGTCTTCCCTCGCTACAATGGTTCTACCTGTGTAGATTTCGCAGCAATTTCTAAAGCTGAAAACAAAGCACCACCTGGCCAAATAAATCGTATAGTTTTTCCAACACTAATAATATTAAACGTGTATCCATTATAGATCTGTCGTTAGATCCACTTGCTTACCCTCTTATGTTCCCAACCGAAAACTTGGGTTGGGGCCCCTAATTTAAATACGCCTAAAACAGAACACATCAAAAAAATAATTTAACAATGCTAGAATAAGAGTAGCGATGGTTGGCGTCAAGAGAGGAATTGAGCTACATTAGGTCAAAAGCTCACTTTACAGTGTGTGATTGACATCTACGTGCTCATAGAGTGCACCCGCCTACTATACATAAGAGATAACCAAAACAGTATGAGAGTGAATGTAAATTTAAATATTGTAGATGCTTTTATATTTTTTACATAATAATATTTTTATATTTCTATAATCAGTCATATAAATTATTTTAGAGTGACTCTTTGATTAAGGTCTTGCTGTTTATATTTTTTGTAAAAATTTTTATAACAGTTTCAGTTTTGCTCGATTTCGAGCAACAGGTTATCTAGTCCTATTTAAATAGGCTACATTAATTTTAATGGGTACTTAAGTTTACTGCTACAGGGAAGGTATTGAGGTGCGTTTTAGCGAATTTCCCTATAGGGAAGTAGCTATTACCGTAGGTGGCACGGTAAGACCTAGGACCGGGACCGATTTACTTTTTCATTTTGATGTCCCCAGAGGCCAAAAACACCATTCAGTCAAATTGTTATATTTGAATTGATATTTAGGTAGTATTGACAATTGGTATTTCGGATTGGCCATGGGAAAAAATGACATTGAGTGTGATATTCAAGATAAATTTCTACATCCCCACGGACCAGCAAAATCGTTTTACTGGCCTTCAAGAGAAGACATCTGTTGGACACCTCTATGCAACACAATTTCAAGTGTCAATCCACCTACAACTAAAGACTAGGGAGGATGTATATTATTTTCCTGAAAAGGAAATTCAAGCTGCTGACTTGCATTGCAAAGAAAATGTTGAAGCTCACACGCACCCACATTCAAAACTAAGGTAACTCCTCTACTGTTAAAGGCCTTTATCACAAAAATGTTCTAATCCAATAATAAGGCCCAGTATAAATTATAAATACATTTCTTTGTAAGTAGTACATAATTGGCACATCATTTACTGCAGCTTTAATTTTATGTACAGCCTAATATGCGGTAACGGTAACAGTTAAAAATACATGTGTTCACATTTAATATCTAAGGGTCAGTGCATAAATGAAGTATTGAGAAGATTTATAATTAAAAGATGTTTGCAATTGGATGAGTATTAAAGTTTTTAAACTTGGATAGCAAAGTCAAGTTATCGATTTCAAAGGATTTATTCGCCGTAACCAATAAAAAAAATTATTAGCAGGTAAAAAAACATTAATTTTATTCCAGATTACTTTAGTTTATATCTTTAGGGTTAGTTAAAAAAAAATATGTTGGTTACTGCTATGCAATTGGTCAATAATCGTTTTTTAAATTTTTTTGTTTGTAAATTAAAAAATAACTCAAAAATTTAAATTTAGCAATGTATTACATATAAATATGAAGAAATAACTAACCAAATGTATTTTTTCTATAATCCTCTAATTTTTCTGAACATTTTGGTGCAAAAAACTATTGCTTTATGTTAAATATTGTAGAAGTTATGGATTTTTTTATATAAGAACGTTGCCAAACCATTTCGCCTCGGAAGCGTCGGTATAAGCATATTTTGCAAAATTTCAATGCAATAATTTTTACAAAGTTTTCAGGAAAGATAAACTAGAAACCCTATAGTGCACTTATTTTTATACACATAGGTAGTTATTCAATATTTAATATTTGGGACTTGGGAGTCACACACTGTTTGGAAACAAAATCTTGATATTATTTGAAAACTTAATTGGACAAACAATAATTACTCCATTAAATAAAAAAATTAAAATAAACATTTGATTGAATAATTAACTAGCAAAAGGATTACTGTTGTAAACTACTAAAATGGATTACAGTATAACAATTTTGTATGTTTTTAAGTTCCAGTGTTTTATTTTGGTTTGCAACCAAATCATCAATACTGAAGTTACATTTGTGTAAACTTTGTCAGTGTCAGTTGTAGAGAAGCAGCTAGTTAAGATCACACTAGACATGATTTTTCTTTTAGTACCTAACTAGTTATTGGTAAACCATTCATGTTCTGACCTAGTTGAGTGCAGGATGGTGCCATCAGGTTGTATGGAGATCAGCACATCCTGTCGTCCAGATCCCATTATCTTACTCTCGTGTTCATTCACCAGGTAGAGATGTGGAGTCCAGATCCGGTCCATCAGCATGTTATCTCCAGTGATTAGAGAACTGTTTCGCTCCAAACGAGGATCTCGCCACCGATATCGAATCAGTATGTGGGTCGTGAATTGCTAGAATAAGAAACGTTAAATGTATAAGACTTGTTTTAAAACTTATATTAGTGGAAGAGACATGTGGTACAGAATTATTCAAAATTCTTGAGAAAAAGAAACCCCATTCTTTTATCTGAAAGTGGATAAAAACTTCTGAAAAAGTTATTAAAAGAAAGTGATTCATGGTGTGACAGAACTGATTTAGCAGTTTTACTGTCATCGTACCTGTGGACACAGGGCTGTCAGGTGGGTGGGGCAAGCACCCCGGGCGCCGTGGTCAGGGAGGGGCTGCGGGTGCCACAACAAAAGTAATACAACAAAATTTAAAAAATTCAGTTACATGTACATAACGTATTTTGGAAAGTTATGTTCAACTGAATTTTGAATATTACTTTTTATGCATTTATTGAACAAATACGTTTATTTGACACCAACCACTTCATATATTTTCAAAGTTTTCCCAAATAAAATACTTTTAATGGTAATTCAATCCGTTTAGGTGTCAGTTTAAGGTCATTAAAAGTGTCATTTGATGGTCATTAAAACGCAGATAGCGATGCAACCAGCCAAGCAACTTTGTATAACAAGCATCACTCATTGTGTGTTTGGGGGGGGGGGGGGGGGGGAGCGCCTGACAACATCCCGCCTGGGCGCCCATAAATCATGCATGTTTAAATTTACAGTTTACATAAACATAGCCATAATGTTCTACCACTCACCTAAACAATAGAGAAAAATAAATTATGAAAATTCGCAAAATATCACAAATTATTCATGAAATTAAAAACATAAACATAACTGTACACAATCCTACTTTGACATTTCTCATTGCGTATCACAGTTTTTTTTTGCTGCTTAGTTCAAATTAGCTGTCATGAATGCAAAAAAAAAAATAGTGCTGCACCCTGTTGGTAATCTTATAACTTTTTAATGTTTTCCATATCATAGAACCAACTTTTTTAATAGAAACAGCTGACTAAATTCTTTAATTCCCTTTATATTATGAATACTCATATATAAGGTTAACATGGGGAACTACAGAGCCACTCGGGCGGAGTTCGAAAGGATTTTTGAGATATGAATATGCCTATATGTTAATCGGGAATGTGAGCTATCATCATGCCAAAATTTGAACCCAATCCGTCCAGTAGTTAATGCGTGATTGAACTCCAAACAAACAAACATACAAACACACAAACTTTCACATTTATAATATTAGTAAGATTCATAACTGCTCAGAACAGGTTTTAACATATGAAAGAACTGCCACCAGTTGAAAAACTTTACTACAGTAGTACAAGTACCTGCTGAGGATTATGTAGTGACATTGAAACATGTACCAAAAAATGTACATCATCTAATAATAAAGGGATGAAAAACAACATAACCAGTAGAAAGAAAACAAGAAAAAGAAAGCCTTGTGGGGGAGGCGGGGGGAAAACAGGTTAAATTAGATTTCTGACCTTCCATAAATACACTTATACATTAAATTTTTCCTTTTTTATCATCTTACTATTTAAAAAAAGTAGTATACTGTGATATTTTCTAAAAACGCACAAGGTTCTGAGCTTCGATGGACCCAAGGAAGTAGACGTAGATACGAGTGTGGACATGAGTCTTGCCGCCGTTGCCATACTGAGGTCTGGTCCAGCGGTCGTAGCGACACGGCTCTGTCAGCTGCATCAGGTGCTCTGTATGAGATCCTGTCAGGTTTAGGGGACTGGGACAAAACTCTGACTTTACCCTGTAAATATAGAACACACACTGTAGTAGAGTAATATCATATGTGTATCAGTTACAGCTCCTCAGTTTCAATAGGTATACTAAGTGGGACCCTGTTCAGACTTATAGACAGGGAAAGTAGATCCAGCAACTTGACGTATCTACCTTTCCTATCTATAAGCAGCTTTACCTACCCATTGCTGTGTTCATCTGATCAGAGGACGCAATGTGGAATGATTCAAATTTAAGTCTGAAACTTGCCTATTTGCCGACGATATGTCCCCCCTCACTGCTCTTTCCAGTCCATCTTGAGTCATTGGAGCAAATGGCATTTCTAGAATGGAACAGAGTTCTGCAATGGTATTATGAAAATCAGTTGATTTTAAAAGTAGATAAAAATTAATTGTTGAGCTACCACAATAATATGTCCAATAGGTCATGTACAGGAAAAATACTAAATAATAATGAAAAAAAAATAGTTCAGAGATGAAACTTTGGTTTTAGGCCCCCATACACGTAACAATCGGCCGGCTGAACAGTTTGGCCTGTGAAAGGAGGGTCCCCATACACGCAACAATTCGCCTGCCGGCCGGACTTATAATAGTTGACGCTAGTATATAGTCTTCCCCGCCTAGCGGAAAGTGTGTAGTCAGTTTACGTTTTGTGGCTGCTGTGTACAGTGCTGTAGTGTGACATGTCCTCTCAAATGGAGGAGGTGATGGCGTATGCTGTGATTTTAGCAACACTGCAGAAAAGGAAAAAGAGGAAGAGAAGGGGATTATGGCATAAAGAGTGGCTTAATAGAACAGCACCAACCGATGTCAATTTATTGGAAGAATTTAGATTGTCACTGTCACAGAACAATACAAAACACTTCATATGGCACAACACAAAGACTGGGCAGAAAATACAAAATGCGTGCCTAGCCTCAAAATTAACGTTAATAAAAATAATGCTACTACTGTCGGCCTTCCGGCGGCCTGCCAGCGACCCGATACACTTACCGATTGGCCAGAAGGTGGGGGTTGGCCGGCCGGCGACCGGATGACGACCCCATACACGTAACGATCGGCCGGCCGGCGTGGACTGTTCAGGCCGGGCCGGCCGGCCGGTACGTGTATGGGGGGCCTTGATTTTGTTTTACCAATAGAAGTCAAGATCCAATGAGTCCCTAGTAGTCCCGATGGGGGAACATGGTTTTTAGGGGGTGAGAAATTTTTTGGGGGAATTTTGATATAATTCATGATTCACAATTTGAGGTCATTAAGGAAGTCGTTTTCAAGATTTGTATACACGGTGAATCGATAGGAACCATATTTAGGTCAATAGAACCACCTCCGTAAGAGATTTAGCATATTGGTACATGTTTTTATTGTTTTTAGCGAATTTCCATATAGGGAAGTAGCTATTACCGTAGGTGGCACAGTAAGACCTAGACCCGGGACCGATTTACTTTTTCATTTTGATGTCCCCAGAGGCCAAAAACACCATTCGTTGAAATATTTATATATGTATATATAGATTTATATATATACGTCCGTGAACGCGATAACTTCAGAATTTTTGTCTGATTTTGATGAAATTTGGCTAAAAGGTGTAAAGCGGGATAAACTTGAATGAGTTCGCGAACCAGCATCGTCGGACCATGGGAACGGGGCTTTACGGGGGGTTTAATGGGGTAAAAATTGGGTTTTCTCCCTTTTGACCCTCAAAACACAAAATTTTTCTTTAAATCTTTTTAAAGAGCTTAAAAAAACAAATAATTTAGTATGTAAAAGTATTTTTGTTCGGTTATTGGTAAAGAAGAAAATTTAAAAAATTGTAAATTTAAAATTCGCATGTTATTCTTATGGAGAATATTGTAAAATGTTGTAGTTTGCTTTTTTATATTTTTATCAAACATGGAAAATTTATTTATTTTATACTAAGCTATCAATATTTTACTAATAACACACTTTATTAGTTTCCTTGTAGCAGCAAACCTAGGTACTCGTTAAACCTAATGTTATTTAAATATATTTAATTGAAAATCAATTCAGACAAATGGAAATTCGCTTAGTCGGCAGGTTTGCTGCGGCGGGGGTTTTTTTTAAGAGGGGTAGGGGAAATTTGAAATAATTTATGAATTTTGATTTATGACTTGTTGGGTCTCGTTTTCAATGGTTTTCTCATGGAGAATATTTTAAAATGTTGTAGTTTGCTTGTTTAGGATAAATTTTGATCAAACTTGTCAAATTTATTAATTTTATACTAAGCTATTAATATTTTACTAAAAAACACATTTTATTAGCCTCCCTATAGCAGCAAACCTAGTTACTTGTTTTAATAGTTTTAATTTAAAATCAATTCAGGCAAATGGCAATTTTCTTAGTCAGCAGGTTTGCTGCGGCGGGGTATTTTGGTTACCAATCAGTTTTTCATGGTAGGTTAGTGTACCTATCATGGATATGTGCAATCCACTTGTAAAAAAATTAAAATCAAAATCTATGTGAATTTATTAGCTATTCAAATAAAAACCACTTATGATAGACCAATACACCAGGGTCGGGTCTCAGAACACGTGGTAATCTGATGGAGGGCAACGTGCTCAGGCCAAGTCACGCTTCATTCATTAGTTATGTTCATTACTGCAAACCACAAATATATTTGTTTATTAGATATTTTATACCTTCAACCATAAACTAGCACAGTTTTGTTGTTGTAAACGTTTAAAACTTGTAGTTTCAGCTTTTAGTTTTAATTACTTTGAGACTATGGCAGGTATGAAAGGTCATGCATCACAATTTAATGTCAACATTTGTCATTGAGCTATCAATTAATGATGATATGATACAAAAGGTCAATGTTTGAGAGCAAAAGAATAGGGTTTGGACCATTCCCTAACAAAACAAACACGGTATCAGCAAACTAACACATATCTTCTTCCATTAGTCGTCAACAACAACTATTATAATGGGTAAGCGGAGGGAGTAACTGGGATATGTTATTGGGTAAAATCACAAAAACGCATCAGATTTAAAACTGTAACTTTTACAGTATTGATCGGTTATACCATTTTGTTTGGAGTTAAAAGGACCATGACATACTAAAAAAAATATCAACCAAAGACGGTTGAGCCGTTTTTGTAAAAATCCTTAAAGAAACTTTAATTATCCATATACTACACGATTACTAGAAAAAATTTTCTATTTTTCTAGTAATTTTTTCTAGTATTTTTCTAGTAATCGTGATATACTACTATAGGTGAAACCCGTCGAAATCGACAGACACTTTAAAGGCTTACGCTAACTCATCTAACTGCAATAACTGTGTGAAATTATCAAAATGTTGAACATTTAGCTTTGTTTAATGATTAATAAATAATAGTAAAAACAATAATGACTATTGCGTGAGTTACAAAATATGGTTGATTATATAATGACTAAACTGATCCCAGTACGTCATGGGAGTTATGTTAACTATGTTAACTGTTTTATCTCATTTTTAAGAACCTTAAGATAAAGTATCAAAATTGTATTAGCGAATCTTTTGTGGTTAACACTTACGTGATTTCATCAGTGCAAGGCAGATTAAATCCATGTTTTTATTTGAGAAAAAATATCTGTTTGTTGAGAAGACACGTTCTTACTTCAAAGTGAGGTCTACCTTTAAGCTGTGTAAGTTTGATTTTTTACTTCTTCACGTCGGTCATCATACCGTACTTCAGTGCCAATCAATTAACCTCTAGAATAATTTTGAGAAATTTTGCCGTAAGGGTTGCTGTTAAAGCTGGAATTCCTTGACATCCCCGGATGTCAGTTGTCTCAGCCTTACCAATTACATGAAGTTGTCAATTAAATAAATACGAGGTGTTGGACCGTCCCAAGATGCATGGAGTAAAAGAGGGGCCAGACAGAGCGGACTGCGCGCGATGACGTCACTGCAGTCCCGGCAGCGGCTGCCTCGCCGCTAGATACATGCTAAACGCACAAACCTCACTTTTTCAGACACGATTTAAGCTGGTTTGGATGAGGTATTTCCCGTTATGACACAAATATATTTGTCTACTAAATAATGATTTTTATGATTTTGAACTAACATGAATTGTGAACAGTTTGACAATAGTAAATAACCAATTAGGCCTGTATGTTGCATAGAAAGCAATGAAATGCACTAGGTCAAAAAGTTGCCTGTTTAAAAGTTACGGTACTTCAACTGCTTTTTGGTGTTAGTTATAAATGAAACGCCATCCTTTTTCATTTTTGATTTCTTCTTTTTCTATTTAATGTTAAACTTATTCGGGTTTGTTGATACAAAAAAACAACAACCAATTATATAATACTAGCTGTACCCGCGGGCTTTGCCCCGTTTAACTTCATAAGTATGAATAATAAATTAAAAATGACTATCTCCACTAAGCCTGTGGTTATATTGGCTCAATTCCTGAAAAAAATCTGCTCAATTAGTCAAGTCGTCGTCCTGTCCTAATGTGGTTTTATAACAATGCTCGTTAATTTTCAAGATGAGCTCGCTCGCATGGCTCAATCACGTCCTGATTGAAGTTCGTTTGCTACGCTTACTCATCTTTAGGTTGGAGCTTGTTCGCTGCACTCACTTGCCTTCAGGTTAGCTTGTTTGCTACGCTAACTCGCCTCCAGGTTGAAGTTTGTTCGCTACGCTCACTCACCTTTTGGTTGCAAGCTGTTTTCATAAATGTAAAAAAAATAAAAAAAAAATAAAAAAAAATAATAGTGCTGCACCCTGTTGGTAAACCTATTAACTCTTTAATGCTATTGAACATCACAGAATCAACTTGTTGTGGTTGAACCAGCTGTTAAGATTCTTTAATTCCATTAAATATGAGTACTCATAAGGTTAACATGGGAAACTCCAGAGCCACTGGGGCAGAGCCCGAAAGCCCGATCAGAATAAAAACTACCACTTAGTTTTCCGTTTTCCTATTTAATGCCCAAAGAATCGGTGTACCGAATTTCAGCCTCCTAGGTAAATGGGAAGTAAGAGAATTAGTGATGAGTAAGTGAG